CCAACTTGAAGGAAATATAATTTCCAAGAATGTATTAGTGATGTTTTAATAAATTCTGATATTAATTACTCGTGTGCGTAACTGGACAATTTGAACCCATTTGATGACCCAACAATCGATACTTGAATGTAGGTCAAGTGATGTGGGCCCACTGCACTGGAATTTGCCTGCAGATACGTAAAGCGGTGTATTGTTTTACTTTGCTTTAAATTATGGTCATTTCACATGTCTTTAATATATAGAGTACAAAGTCAATATTGTTCAGCGAAGTCTAAGTAAAAGTTGCGCACATTTGGAACACACTAAAAACAACTTTAAAACTGTTCCTGCAATGCTTAGTATCACTACAGTTATGAAAGCAAATCATACAAGATAGAAACGTTAGAAAGCTTTCTTATGCATGAGTCTAGACCTAGAAAATCTAGAAACATCGCTGCCCACGTGAGTAAAAATTCAGTATTTATGATATTTATCAATCATTATGATAACTTTTTTAAAATTTAAAAATCTAAAAATTTAAAAATTTAAAAATCTCGTCCACTCTGCACTTCTGAATGCTGCCTGTCCTCTCAATTCTTCAGCGATTCAAGGACAAGTTTTAGGRCTGCAACAAGAGGCGAAAGACCACCATGCCAGACGGCTGTTACTYTTTCCATATCTAATAACCAATTGAATGGCCTTTCGATGTTTGAATTTCACAAGTACAAATTGACTGAATTTCATTTTACTACTTGTATGTGGATTGCAAGATCAAAACAGCGAAATACTATATCAAAAAACATCGATATTCGAATAGTATGCTGAATATTAACGATGTTTACATACAGCATTTGTAGAAACCATTGAGGAACGTATCAGCAAAGAACATCTTATCGCAAACTCCTAATGACATACRAGTCTCAAATGAATTTCTTTTCAGTGTTTAGGCAATAAGGTTTTGTGATCAGGAATTGTTGTTTTAGCATTTCTTTAAAGCTAGGTAGGAAGAGAAAATGTTTGGAATGGAGTATATTGGACGCAATGAGTTACTGCTAATGAGTTTTCCCGCTTGAGGATTTTCTATTGTGTTGGCTTACAGTTTTATTGCTRTACGAAAAATACTAGTACATCAGTAAATTGCTTTCATAAGATGGTAGCACTTATAATGGTTTAAGTTAATAAAATATAGCCAGACTTAAAGTTAATCACATCATTAAAGTTTGAAGTCGAAGAAGAGTAACACGATCAAGACGGATATAAATAGAAAGGAAAGAAGGAGAAGAAGAACAAAAAGAAAACGACGACAATAACAAGGGGAAGCCGTGATAAGAACAAGACTGGAAAAGAGAAACAAGAGGGAAAAGAAAAAAAAAGCAATAACAACAAGAATCGCGAGAACAAGAACAGTAAGAAGGACAAAAAAGGACAAAAGAACAAGAAGAACAAGAACAAGAAGGACAAGAAGGACAAGAAGGACAAAAGAACAAGAAGAAACAACGGACAAAAGGACAAGACGAACAAGAAGGACAAGAAGAGCAAGAAGAACTACAGGAACAAGAAGAAACGCCACATGTTCAGAAGTTGTCATTCAATATGTTTTTGGTTCAGTCTCAAATCTTGTTCACACGGTGTTGGAGATCACATAATCATAACATTAGAGAGTCAATATTATTAAGACAAGGAAAACAGCATCCCCATAGTAAAACAAACAGACATACACATTGATAGATTGTTGACATAAGGGCTTAGTTCATCAACAACAATGAGACAATCTTTAAGAAGCAAAGGTGCAACGACTCAACACAAATTGCTACAACATGGTTCATCCGCTAATAGCGAATATTTTTGCTAGGCTGATTTCATCTTGTTTATGTAAGCAGGAGGAAGAAGTCATATGTTGGTTTGTATGAACGGTTCGTAGAAATGKTTCACATAAAGATGCTAGGCTAACACGAGATTGGACTATATAAAGAGAAGACAAATAACAAATAGAAGTGAACAGCAATGATATTTGTAAGCGAAGAAAAAAACAAAGAAAACATAACAGAGAAAAGGCGGAAGTGAAAGAGGAGAAAGTAGAAGAAGATAAAGACGAGGAAGATATCAGACAATTAACAGTCGAAGACGAAGAGCTAGGAAAGAAGACGAACAACATCGAAAGCATTGTAATGCGAAAACTCCCAAGTAAAAAATGGAATGGAACAAGAACAAGATGATAAAGAAGAGGAAGACAAAGGCAAAGAATATCAAATAAGAAAAACGTCGAGAGGAAAGATGACTGACTTTTAATGTAGTGTTCAAATCGCTTGTTTATTGTTGAACTGCCTTTTTTGTTACCGCGCATTCCTGGTCTTTGCAAACATAGTCCCTAGCACACATCGTTCATTTTGTATTTATAGTTTGGTACAAGTTAAAAAAGGACTAAAAATAAACCGAAGAAATTCATGTCTTTAGTTGATATTCTTAAACCAAAGAAATGACGAGGAACTCAGTAATATTTCGGTTTTATTGCAAAATAATCGTCAGACGAACAAGAATAATTAAGTATTGTATAAGTCTGTTTTTATGTAAATTTCTTTAGTTTCATTAACGTGTGAAAAGACTCAACTTATGTAAGTATTTTGTGCTTAGTTTTCTTCGTATTTCTCGAGGATTTTATATTTTTTGCTGATCTATTTCCTTATTTATTAACTGTATCTTAATTATTTATAGTTTGATTGTACTTATGTACACAGTGTTAAACGAATTAGCAAATGTAGTAGTCACGTAAACAATGCGTTAAGATAATATTTACACAAAAACAAAAACAACAAAAAAACAGTAGTATATTCACTTACATTTAATGACACAAACTGAGAATGAACCCTCAAACCTATCCTAAAAGATTTATTCAGATAACAAGACAAATCCATCTGTTKGTACAAGAATAGTTAATGCAATAAGATTGTAACTGATATTTGAAGTACTGAACTCCTGAGTCCTAAAGCAATAGTACAAGTCTTATCTGTTTATTGAAAATTTAAGTGCATTTTTAAGACATCTGTGGTGTACAGTACAGTCTGCACGAAAAGGATTTACTGAACTCGTGTCAGTGTCGGTCAGAAAAATAATCAAGAAAGCTCTTATTCTCGAGTATAATGTTCAAGCTTTTTCCATGATGCAACATTGAATTCGGTAAATTAAAAACGGAGTCTGATTTTTCAAGTTTCACCGTAACTCACCACTGTTAACAGCCGTTTTTAAGTTGACAATTTCATTGTCAACAAATAAATAGAGGATAGTACATGGGCTCACGGAGATACGGATTTTATCTTCGAGTGTTGAAAAGATCTCTCGCGAGTGATAGATTTTCAACACCAGAAGATAAAATTCGTATCTCMAAGCGRYYATGTAATATTCTGTTTATCAAATAATTAAATATGAAATCAAATTATGTCGGAAAATATCTTTTTTCTTACTTCCACTATATAGAGAAACCTCGAATGTGTTATTTTCACTAGCGAAAATAACATGTTATTTTCACTAGTGAAAATATCAATTTTACGTCATGGAGAAATATAGGTGTTTCATAGATAATTATATGATAAATAGAGGATATTACATGGGCGCACGGAGATACGGATTTTATCTTCGAGTGTTAAAAAAAATCTCTCACGAGTGAGCGTAGCGAACGGGTGAGAGATTTTCAACACGAGAAGATAAAATTCGTATCTCCAAGCGGTCATGTAATATTCTGTTTATCATATAATTACATATTAAAGCAAATTATGTCGTAAAATACCTTTTTTTYYTWMYTYC